GAGAAATTGCCACGACAGAAACACCAGGGCCAGTTCGATGAAAACATAAGGAACAGAAAGAAATATTTTAAAATTAAAACCAGAAATGTGAAACACAAATCACCCAGTCCCGCATGAAGGAGGAAACCCCAGAAGAGCCGTAGAGGATGCATCTGTCCAGAGCTTCCAGAAATCCAACCCAGAGCCCACCCCAGAAGTGTGACTTCCACCCGTCAGGCAGTTGCAGGGAGTGAAGAATGGCCGAGCACGTGGTATTAGCTTCAAGTTTGATAATACACTATCAAGTTTTTAAATCTTGTACAGAGGTAGCCTAGGAGTTCTAATTCAATTAGGTGATGTGCACACGTGCATACCAGAGCATCCCCTGGTACATGGGAGCCATAAAACCACACTTTTCCAAGTCACAGGAAACAGAGAGCACAATCGCACAGTGACAGAACGAGGTGGCTCTGGGACGGTGGTGGGCAAAGCATTCAGTGGCGGGGGGAGGGGGAGGGGAAGGGGGAGGGGAAGGGGGAGGGACAGAAGCTCCTTCATTTGTAGTCAGATCTAAGATACTCATCCCCAGCTACCTAGAGATGGAATTCTCCATAAGAAATTCTGCAAAGCAGAACAACAAAATAAAGACTTTCCTGAGGTAGAGAAGTTACGTGCTTCAACCTTCCAACTGAAAAACTAGAAAGCTGCAAGTTCATCACAGCCAGCAAAGATCCGACCCGGTGTGGGTCAGGTCCCGCAGACCAGGAGCTGGGCGCAGAGCGCCAGGAGCTGGGCGCAGAGCGCCAGGAGCTGGGCGCAGAGCACGGCCAGGCCTCGGGAACCACCTCAGGGCGTGTCGGACAGCAGAATCACATGACCCTCAGATGCACAATACAGACTTCATCCTGACTCCTTCCCAACCCCCCCCCCCCCCCGGCCCCCTGCACCTAACAAGCGTCCTGTCCGGTCCATTCTCCGTCATTGTCACCACCAGTGAGTCCCTCACAGGGCGTCCATAGGGACCCAGACAGTAGCGTCATGTCATAAACGCACCATCGTTTGTGGTTTCATTCCACGGTGGGAAGCAGATTTTCTATGTCTATTCCCTGGAAACTGACTGGCTCTAGAACCATCAGATAGATATTTTACGTAGGAAAGTGGTTTCCTTCCTTCCTTCCTTCCTTCCTTCCTTCCTTCCTTCCTTCCTTCCTTCCTTCCTTCCTTCTTTCCTTCCTTCCTTTACTTTTTCTTTTCCTTTGCTTGAACTCTAGGTCTGGGTGCCATCCCTGAGCAAAAGCGCGTATGTGCAGTGATGGTTTCTCCAAGTACAGACTCAAGTGACTCAAAGAGAATGAGATACTTTGCATTCATTATCATTTAGTTTGTAACATTCTAACATCTTTTTTTGATTTATTTTGACCCATGGATGATTTAATAATATATTGATTAATTTCCAAGTCTTTGACAACTTGTAGTTACTTCCATTAGTCTTGAACTTAGTTCTTTTGTGATTGATTACATGATTTCAACATTTAATTTTGGTAAAAGATGTTCAGCACATGGTCCATCCCAATTCAGGTACGCACGTGGTGGTGAGTACTGAAGTTTTGAGTTTTTGTTTTTTTTTTCGGTCGTGGGGCTTGAACTCTGGGCCTGGGCCCTGTCCCTCAGCTCTTCAGCTCAAGGCGAGCGCTCTACCACTTGAGCTACAGCGCCACTTCCGGTTTTCTGGTGGTTTATTGGAGATAGGAGTCTCACGGTCTCTCCTGCCTGGGCTGGCTTTGAACCGCGATCCTCAGATCTCAGCCTCCTGAGTAGCTAGGATTACAGGCGTGAGCCACCAGCGCCCGGCTTGAAGTTTTGAGTTTTATGGTTTCCATAAATACCAATTAAGACAGTGGTTTGATAGTCCAACTCATTTTTATAGGTACTGGTTTTGCCTGCATGTTGTACTCAGATTGCTCACAGATTTGTTAGCTTTGTTAGTTTGAGTTCTAGCAATTTTTGCTTCCTATATTTAGAACCCTCTTATGTTAGGACTTTAATTTTGTTGTCATAGTAAATAAATCATTTTATAGTATAGAACAGATATTTCTGGAATACTCATGGATCTCAACGTAGCTACACAGCTCTCTTTTCTTATGTATTTGTCGAATCTTTTTTCTCTTTTCAACCTGCGTTGCTTAATAGCATATGTTTGGTTATTATTAGTTATCTAATTGAAAAATCCTTGGTTTGCAATTTGAGAGTTGTCTACTTTCAGTTGATACTGTACACTGCATGCACTGAAGTCTAGCCCCTACCTGGACATCCTGTTTTTGTTCCTCCTTTCTTTCCCTGTTTGGATTTGATTGTGCATAATGTTTCCCTACCAACTTTTTGTCTGTCTTATTTTTCCTGTGATTTGTCTTGGGGTCCCCGCAGTTTTTAATTTTCAGCTTGTTTATTTTTAACATCTTTTCATATGAGCATACACTAATAGTACAAGAGTCTTGCCGTGATCATTCCACTGCTTGACGAGTCTTGTCTTTGAAGACTCGGGTCACGGAACGTGGGGGACTCTTGTGACATGGACTTCGGTGTGTCCCCACCTGTAATCATGCGATAGTGAAGTGTGCTTTTACAGACTGCACCACAGCTTACATCTTGCCTTAAATAATTTGCTACATTAGAAGAATTTCAAGTGTGAGTGTTTTAAATTTTTCCTCTCATGTCACTGTTGTTTTTACCCACCTTCTTTGCCGCTGTGGTCCGTCTGGGGCAGTTCCTCTAGCAGATGTCAAGCTGCAGAGCTGGGACCAGCCAGTGCTCCCACTCACCCTGTCTGCCCTTCACCTTCCAGAGATCCTTTTTCTAAATATCTTCTAAGTTGAATCTTCTTACATTTCCAGTGGCATTTATTTCAGATTTCATTATTTTTGTGACAAAATGTCATCAGTCGATCATATCAACGTCTTCAGTGAGCAACACACAGTTTTTTCAAACCCAGCTGTTTATAGGATTCCAGCTTGTCAGTCTGAAGCTCTTGTTTCCGTGGTCCTCGAATGGAGATTTCCTGGCTTCCTAGTCAGGGATTTGGTGCTTTCTGGACGTGAGGATTGGTGTTTTGGATCAATTTGGGTCATTTTCTGCAAACAGTTCTTCAGTTTTTATTTTTGTTTCCTTCTGAAATATGGGTTATCAAGACCTCTCAGTTGTTGACTGTTCTTTCCATGTGTGCATGTGTGTGTATGTATATTTATTTTCATTTTCCTCTTCACATTGTACTGCCATTAAGATGATGTATACAGATAGCCTTGATAGTTATCTGCTTCTACATAATCTGCTTGCAATCGTGTCCATGGATTCTGGTCCTGACACTTGGTATTTTAGAAATGCAGTTGGCAGCCGGGCACCAGTGGCTCATGCCTGTCATCCTAGCTATTCAGGAGCCTGAGATCTGAGGATTGCGGTTCAAAGCCAGCCCATGCAGGAAAGTCCATGAGACTCCTATCTCCAATAAAAACCACTAGAAAACTGGAAGTGGTGCTGTGTCTCCAGTGGTAGAGCGCTAGCCTTGAGCTGAAGAGCTGAGGGATAGCGCCCAGGCCCAGAGTTCAAGCCCCATGACCGACAACAAAAAAGAAAGAAAAAAAGAAATGCAGTTGGTTCCGCTTCAGTTCCAGCTCTCAGCTGAAGCTTCTCACTTTTTGGCCACTGTGCTCAGCCTGTCTGCTGTCCTCGTGGGATGTAGGGAGAGCTCATGCGGGCTGCTGGCTCTCCAGCAGGAGGCAGCCCCGGTCCAGGCGTGGAGGTCTGGGGGCTGTGACATGCTATGGGCTTCTGTATCCGGCAGCTGGAGAGTCAGGCTTTTCCCTTCCCACCTCAAGCTCTCTGCTCAGTGCTGTGAACATTCTTGCTTGGCCCCCTCAAAGAAGTCCTGTGTCTGCCGCGTGTGGACGGGTGGGCTGCACAGAGGGGCTGGTGGAGGGGGCAGGCTGTTGGTGGACGGGGCGGGCTGCACAGAGGGGCTGGTGGAGGGGGCAGGCTGTTGGTGGCTGGGGCGGGCTGCACAGAGGGCCGGTGGAGGGGGCAGGCTGTTGGTGGCTGGGGCGGGCTGCACAGAGGGGCTGGTGGAGGGGGCAGGCTGTTGGTGGCTGGGGCGGGCTGCACAGAGGGGCCGGTGGAGGGGATGGGATGTTGGTAGATAGAGTAGGCTGTACAGGGGCTGGTGGAGGGGGCAATCTGCACAGAGGGGCTGGTGGAGGGGGCAATCTGCACAGAGGGGCTGGTGGAGGGGGCAATCTGCACAGAGGGGCTGGTGGGACAGTGACCAGTGGACCTTCCTTTCTTTATAATTTCCAACAAAACTCACTTGAGAACAACAAGAAAGGTATTAGCACCTCTTTCTACCTTCCCAACACAAAGTTTGGTCCAGTGGTGTTGCCCAGGGCCTGTGTGACTGGGCAGTGGACCGCGGCCCGAGGCAGGCACGGGACTCGGGGGTGGGAGTCCCGGTGTGCGTCGGTCCCCTCCCAGACACGCAGGATGCTCCCAAGCCGCGCCGTTCTTACAGAGGCCGTGCAGCCCCGAGGGACACACGGGTTCCTGCTGCTGAGCCGTACCACTGGTCTCTGGGGACGTACAATGGCGGCTACACGGGTCCCTCACCAATGGGGCGGGAGCCAGGCCTCCACCCACCAGAGTGGACACAGGCCAATGCTTACAGTCCTCCAGCCGGCCAGAAGGGAACGTGGAAAAGGACCTGCCCTGGACTGTGATACCTCTTGGTCTTACTTTAGATTGAGAGTTCACACATCAGGTAAAGTAGGGAACTAATGGGCACCTTTCAATGAAGCCTAGGGCCTGACCAAGCTCCAAAAACTGAGCACAAGGGGAAGGTGGGCCAGAACAGCACTCAGAGCAGATGCCATGACCTCCAAACAGATTTGACAGGGAGTGCTGAACATAGCACGTGACTCCCACGATCCACAGCCATGCAAAGACGTCTCCACTGTACACGGCCTCCACCATCCACAGCCATGCAAAGACGTCTCCACTGCACACGGCCTCCCATGATCCACAGCCATGCAAAGACGTCTCCACTGCACACGGCCTCCACCATCCACAGCCATGCAAAGACGTCTCCACTGCACACGGCCTCCCACATCCACAGCCATGCAAAGACGTCTCCACTGCACACGGCCTCCACCATCCACAGCCATGCAAAGACGTCTCCACTGCACACGGCCTCCCACATCCACAGCCATGCAAAGACGTCTCCACTGCACACGGCCTCCCACATCCACAGCCATGCAAAGACGTCTCCACTGTACACGGCCCCCCATGATCCACAGCCATGCAAAGACGTCTCCACTGCACACGGCCTCCCACATCCACAGCCATGCAAAGACGTCTCCACTGCACACGGCCTCCCACGATCCACAGCCATGCAAAGACATCTCCACTGCACACGGCCTCCACCATCCACAGCCATGCAAAGACGTCTCCACTGCACACGGCCTCCCATGATCCACAGCCATGCAAAGACATCTCCACTGCACACGGCCTCCCACATCCACAGCCATGCAAAGACGTCTCCACTGCACACGGCCTCCCACATCCACAGCCATGCAAAGACGTCTCCACTGCACACGGTCTCCCACATCCACAGCCATGCAAAGACGTCTCCACTGCACACGGCCCCCCACATCCACAGCCATGCAAAGACGTCTCCACTGCACACGGCCCCCCACATCCACAGCCATGCAAAGACGTCTCCACTGCACATGACCTCCCACATCCACAGCCATGCAAAGACATCTCCACTGCACACGGCCTCCCATGATCCACAGCCATGCAAAGACGTCTCCACTGCACACGGCCTCCACCATCCACAGCCATGCAAAGACATCTCCACTGCACACGGCCTCCCATGATCCACAGCCATGCAAAGACGTCTCCACTGCACACGGCCCCCCACATCCACAGCCATGCAAAGACGTCTCCACTGCACACGGCCTCCCCCATCCACAGCCATGCAAAGACGTCTCCACTGCACACGGCCTCCCACATCCACAGCCATGCAAAGACGTCTCCACTGCACACGGCCTCACACGATCCACAGCCATGCAAAGACATCTCCACTGCACAGGGCCTCCAACATCCACAGCCATGCAAAGATGTCTCCACTGCACACGGCCTCCACCATCCACAGCCATGCAAAGACATCTCCACTGCACACAACTTCCCACATCCACAGCCATGCAAAGACGTCTCCACTGCACACGGCCCCCCATGATCCACAGCCATGCAAAGACGTCTCCACTGCACACGGCCTCCCACATCCACAGCCATGCAAAGACGTCTCCACTGCACACGGCCTCCCACATCCACAGCCATGCAAAGACATCTCCACTGCACACGGCCTCCACCATCCACAGCCATGCAAAGACGTCTCCACTGCACACGGCCCCCCATGATCCACAGCCATGCAAAGACGTCTCCACTGTACACGACCCCCCATGATCCACAGCCATGCAAAGACGTCTCCACTGCACACGGCCTCCCACATCCACAGCCATGCAAAGACGTCTCCACTGCACACGTGGACAAGCCCTCCAGCCAGTCAACAGTGTCCGATCGCTGCAGAAATACTTGAGCAGCTTGGCAAAAATAGGTTTTAGTTATTTTGTTGTGAACAAGGTGCTTCAAGTTGACGTACTCAATTTAGATTTCCAGTTTTTCATTTGTCACATATTACTGAAAATAAGTTGTAACCAAATGTTCTCCATCCTGGCTGCCTGAGGCACTCTCTGGCACAGCCCTGCTTTTCAGAGATATGGCCACAAGACACAAGAACACGGATTTCCTAGCTCCGGTTCTGATGGTCAGGCTGGTTCCCCTTTGACTGTGTAGGATGTGTTCAGAGTTCTCAAAAAAGAGATAATTGTGTCTACACTGCGAGGAGCCCCGGCTGCGGGCGGGTGGTCTGGGAGAGCCCGGAGGCCCCCATCCTGATCCCCGCGGGCGACAGGAAAGCACAGGAGCAGGCAGGCGCACGCCTCTCAGCCCACGTCAGCTGCTGTCAGCTGCCTCAGCCTCTACCACCGTCAGCGATGGAGATCCACTGTTGAACAAGAGGGTGTGAGAGACTGGAAGTGCCGGGAGGAAACCCGCCCTTGCGCTGGGTGAAAAGAGGAAACTTAGAGATGTTTGTGGCTCGCCAGGGGCAGAGACAGATTAAAAACCACCTCTTTGTGGCCTCTGTGTCTCTCTACACCTTGACAGGACAAGGTGGTCAGCCGGGACCGTGCTCAGGACCCTACCCGCTGACCCAGCCTTCCCAAGACGGGATGGAGGTCAGCAGGGGAAAGCAGCCCTCAGGACCTGACGTAACCAGATGACTGGACTGGATGTCCCAGCTGGGGTTATGGGGGGGGCCCAGGAGAGCCGGAGAGGCCTGCGCCCCATGCAGCCAGCTCCACACTGAAGCACAGGAGCAGGAGATTCTCCTCCCAGACCTCCCTGCCACATGCAGGGCTTCCGCTGAGCACCAGGAGCGCTTAGCAGATTGAGAGGGTGAGCGACAAGTAGGGCTCTGAGGACATGAGGCCCCTTTGTCTGCACCACACCCACCATCCACGGGCCTGCACCACACACCATCCACGGGCCTGCGCCACACACCATCCACGGGCCTGCGCCACACACACACACCATCCACGGGCCTGCGCCACACACCATCCATGGGCCTGCACCACACACACACACCATCCACAGGCCTGCGCCACACACACACACCATCCACGGGCCTGTGCCACACACACACCATCCACGGGCCTGCGCCACACACACACACCATCCAAGGGCCTGTGCCACACACACACACCATCCACGGGCCTGTGCCACACACACCATCCACGGGCCTGTGCCACACACACCATCCATGGGCCTGTGCCACACACACACACCATCCACGGGCCTGTGTCACACACACCATCCACGAGCCTGCGCCCCCACACCATCCACGGGCCTGTGCCACACACACACACACCATCCACGGGCCTGCGCCCCCACACCATCCACGGGCCTGTGCCACACACACACACCATCCACAGGCCTGTGCCACACACACACACCATCCACGGGCCTGTGCCACACACAGACACCATCCACGGGCCTGTGCCACACACACACACCATCCACGGGCCTGTGCCACACACACACACCATCCATGGGCCTGTGCCACACACACCATCCACGGGCCTGTGCCACACACACCATCCACGGGCCTGTGTCACACACACACACCATCCACGGGCCTGTGCCACACACACACACCATCCATGGGCCTGTGCCACACACTCCATCCATGGGCCTGCGCCACACACACACACCATCCACGGGCCTGTGTCACACACACACACCATCCATGGGCCTGTGCCACACACACACACCATCCACGGGCCTGTGCCACACACACCATCCACGGGCCTGCGCCACACACACACACCATCCACGGGCCTGTGTCACACACACACACACCATCCACGGGCCTGTGTCACACACACACACACCATCCACGGGCCTGTGCCACACACACACACCATCCACAGGCCTGTGCCACACACACACACCATCCACGGGCCTGCGCCACACACACACACCATCCACGGGCCTGCGCCACACACACACACCATCCAAGGGCCTGCGCCACACACACACACCATCCACGGGCCTGTGCCACACACACCATCCACGGGCCTGTGCCACACACACCATCCACGGGCCTGTGCCACACACACATTCCACGGGCCTGTGTCACACACACCATCCATGGGCCTGTGCCACACACACACACCATCCACGGGCCTGTGCCACACACACCATCCACGGGCCTGCGCCACACACACACACCATCCACAGGCCTGTGTCACACACACACACACCATCCACAGGCCTGTGTCACACACACACACACCATCCACGGGCCTGCGCCACACACACACACCATCCACGGGCCTGTGCCACACACACACACCATCCACGGGCCTGTGCCACACACACCATCCACGGGCCTGTGCAATACACACCATCCACGGGCCTGTGCCACACACACACACACACCATCCACGGGCCTGTGCCACACACACACACACAACATCCACGGGCCTGTGCCACACACACCATCCACGGGCCTGTGTCACACACACCATCCACAGGCCTGCACCACACACACACACCATCCACGGGCCTGCGCCACACACACACACCATCCACGGGCCTGTGCCACACACACACACCATCCACGGGCCTGTGCCACACACACACACCATCCACGGGCCTGTGCCACACACACCATCCACGGGCCTGTGCCACACACACCATCCACGGGCCTGTGCCACACACACCATCTACGGGCCTGTGCCACACACACCATCCACAGGCCTGTGCCACACACACCATCCTCGGGCCTGTGTCACACACACCATCCATGGGCCTGTGCCACACACACCATCCACGGGCCTGCGCCCCCACACCATCCACGGGCCTGTGCCACACACACCATCCATGGGCCTGTGCCACACACGCACACCATCCACGGGCCTGTGCCACACACACCATCCACGGGCCTGTGTCACACACACACCATCCACAGGCCTGTGCCACACACACACACCATCCACGTTCCTGTGCCACACACACACACCATCCACGGGCCTGTGTCACACACACCATCCACGGGCCTGTGCCACACACACCATCCACGGGCCTGTGCCACACACACCATCCATGGGCCTGCGCCACACACACACACCATCCACGGGCCTGTGTCACACACACCATCCACGGGCCTGTGTCACACACACCATCCATGGGCCTGTGCCACACACACCATCCACGGGCCTGCGCCCCCACACCATCCACGGGCCTGTGCCACACACACACACACACACACCATCCACAGGCCTGTGCCACACACACACACGATCCACAGGCCTGTGCCACACACACACACCATCTACGGGCCTGTGCCACACACACACACCATCCACGGGCCTGTGCCACACACACACACACACACACCATCCACGGGCCTGTGCCACACACACACACCATCCACGGGCCTGCATCACACACACACACCATCCACGGGCCTGTGCCACACACCATCCACAGGCCTGTGCCACACACACACACATCCACGGGCCTGTGCCACACACACCATCCACAGGCCTGTGTCACACACACACACACCATCCACGGACCTGTGCCACACACACACACAGCATCCACGGGCCTGTGCCACACACACACAGCATCCACGGGCCTGCGCCACACACACACACCATCCACGGGCCTGTGCCACACACACACACCATCCACGGGCCTGCATCACACACACACACCATCCACGGGCCTGTGCCACACACCATCCACAGGCCTGTGCCACACACACACACATCCACGGGCCTGTGCCACACACACCATCCACAGGCCTGTGTCACACACACACACACCATCCACGGACCTGTGCCACACACACACACAGCATCCACGGGCCTGTGCCACACACACACAGCATCCACGGGCCTGCGCCACACACACACACCATCCACGGGCCTGTGCCACACACACCATCCACAGGCCTGTGTCACACACACACACACCATCCACGGGCCTGTGCCACACACACACACACAGCATCCACGGGCCTGCGCCACACACACACAACATCCACAGGCCTGTGCCACACACACACACATCCATGGGCCTGTGCCACACACACCATCCACAGGCCTGTGTCACACACACACACACCATCCACGGGCCTGTGCCACACACACACACAGCATCCACGGGCCTGTGCCACACACACACAGCATCCACGGGCCTGTGCCACACACACACACCATCCACGGGCCTGTGCCCCCCCCAC